TATTGGTTGCAATTAAAGTACAATTGTAATTTGATCTACCTGATATAAGATTTATATATTTTCATAGTTTGTCTCAGTTGACATTGCCTGTTATACTGAATAATATATTTCTCATTAGAATTAGGCATATGCTGATAAATATTAATTCATTTTATTTGAGGATTACACCATGTTATAAGGTTCTGTGCATTAAAAGTAGAATTCCCAGTAACTGTTTTAAGGACACCTAGGCATTCACCATTGGCTTCATGTTTGTTGCCACAAATGATACAGGAAAAGGCTAACTAAGCTTCAGTATGTATAACCTGGCTACAGAGCGCCTTTAGATCTACCTGGTGATTTATTATTCAAAAAAGAACCAGTCAAAGTTCTGTCTTTCCAGAATATTTATTATCCTAGTCCATTAGCTATTGTTCATACATGAAGCATAGAGGTCATCGTAGTTGCTTGACACTGTGCTCCTAATTTACTGGACTTTAGACTGGTGGCCATCTTTCATAAGTTCTAAGTGGGTTTCGATAGAACGTAGCTGTATACCTAATAGAAAAAATCACATTTGAAACTAATGATAATGGTTTTTACCCACACCAAACAGAGCCAGAGGCTGGGTGCCATGAACAGCTGCTCGAGTGAAAAAATTACAAGTATAAATGGGAAACATGTTTTCTGCAAGGTCTATGATTTCAGATGGAACATATGTGATCTTTTAACTCATTGTGCTGGGATGTCATGGCATATATACCAAGTCCGAGGTGGCTCCTCATATAAAATTATAGATTGAAATGAGAATTTCTTTGTTCATGCAGGAGATAAATGCTTGATTGTTCTTCTAAAAAATTTATTTTTTGATGTCATTTCTGTACTCTTTAAAATGCTAAGATTCTAGGGATGGGTTCTTTTTGGTAATTGGTGAATCTAGAAGATATAAAACAACACTACTTGGTGCAAAAAATAGTTTACTGAAAGTAAAAGTAGGGTCAGAAAAGCTTATCAAAATCCACAAATCTGCTTGCACAGCTAAGTCCAGCAGTGCCGAGGCCTCTGCAATTGTGCTTCAGTCAAGGAAAGCAAAGGCCCCTCCAGGATTATTTTAGCAAGATAAAAATTGTCAACCCTCTTGGAGATGTATCAGCAAATATGCAAGGGGGAGGCTAGTTGGCCTTCACCAGAGCATGAAGCATGGAGACCTTGGTGTTGCTTCATGGGGTCTTATTTAGAACAATTAACAGGGTTTCTTTACATTAACCTGTTTTTTTTGTTTGTTTATGTATAGTACCATATTTCACATTTTATTTTTATTTGTAGTTGCTATTCCTCTTAATTTTTTTATGGACACAATTTATTCACCATGTCTGTTTTTCCTTCCTTCTTCATGCTCTTTTTTTTCTTTTTCTTTAATCTTCTAGAGTTCAATATTACAGATCATGTTCCACTATGTATTTAATTCGTCTTAATTTTTCATGACATATTTTTGTTAAATTTTGTATGTGATACTACTGGGTTTCTCAGTGATGTTCAGTGGAGTCTAATTTTCATTTCATATGTAGACCATTCTAATATGTCTGTTAGATCCTTTGGTTTTCATCAGTATTTTTACATACAAAAATACTGATGCTAATGTTGCCTTTTCAAGTACCAGAACCACTGATAAGTAGATTTACTGAAATATTGTCTGTGTAATATGTGAACGCACACAACAAGAAAATATTTAATACTTTCAGAATGGTGAAAGATTTTGCCGCAGTCAATAACCAAGAGCAGATAAGCCGGCTGATACGAGTCCTGGAGGAGTTTGCGAATGTCTCATAACCCTCATACCAGAAAAGGTGGACTTATAGGACTGGCTGCCGTTGCCATTGGACTTGGGACTAGGGTATGGCATTTAGCTTTTTGTTGATGTTTTGTGTGTTTCTTTAATATTTTTCTCTAGGAATATCTGAAATGTTTTCTTATGATTTTAATAAGGATTGTATGATAAGATGTGTATTCTCTAATCAATTACATATGTGTGTGTGTGTGTGTGTGTGATATATACATACACATATACACAAATACACATACACACAAACACACATACACACATACACACATAAACACATACACACACACATATGTATACTTCCTGAGCATTCGAAAATTATATTATTATGTATTTGTCTTTGTTGTCATTTTCATTTCATATGTAGACCATTCTAATATGTCTGTTAGATCCTTTGGTTTTCATCAGTATTTTTACATACAAAAATACTGATGCTAATGTTGCCTTTTCAAGTACCAGAACCACTGATAAGTAGATTTACTGAAATATTGTCTGTGTAATATGTGAACGCACACAACAAGAAAATATTTAATACTTTCAGAATGGTGAAAGATTTTGCCGCAGTCAATAACCAAGAGCAGATAAGCCGGCTGATACGAGTCCTGGAGGAGTTTGCGATGTCTCATAACCCTCATACCAGAAAAGGTGGACTTATAGGACTGGCTGCCGTTGCCATTGGACTTGGGACTAGGGTATGGCATTTAGCTTTTTGTTGATGTTTTGTGTGTTTCTTTAATATTTTTCTCTAGGAATATCTGAAATGTTTTCTTATGATTTTAATAAGGATTGTATGATAAGATGTGTATTCTCTAATCAATTACATATGTGTGTGTGTGTGTGTGTGTGTGTGTGTGTGTGTGATATATACATACACATATACACAAATACACATACACACAAACACACATACACACATAAACACATACACACACACACACATATGTATACTTCCTGAGCATTCGAAAATTATATTATTATGTATTTGTCTTTGTTGTCATTTTCATTTCATATGATTATGATATAAAGTCTCATCCCTTCAATAAATGTATAATCATCAGCCCTAACTAGAGAGAGAAAGTCTCAGGGGATTTTAGCCAGCGTTCTCTTACAGGGCATAGGGCCGTACATTCAAGAGCTCGTCAATCCCATTTTGGCTTGCTTCACCGATGGTAACCCCAATGTGAGGTATTATGCATCCGAGTCTCTGTACAATGTTGTCAGAGTCTCGAGGGGCACGGTGCTGTCGCAGTTCAACGACATTTTCACCATTCTGGTCCGCTTGGCCATGGACGCAGACCAGAACGTGAAGAATGGCTCGGAGATGCTTGATAGGATAATGAAGGTTAGTACGTTTCTTCCTTCTTCATGCTCTTTTTTTTCTTTTTCTTTAATCTTCTAGAGTTCAATATTACAGATCATGTTCCACTATGTATTTAATTTGTCTTAATTTTTCATGACATATTTTTGTTAAATTTTGTATGTGATACTACTGGGTTTCTCAGTGATGTTCATTGGAGTCTAATTTTCATTTCATATGTAGACTATTCTAATATGTCTGTTAGATCCTTTGGTTTTCATCAGTATTTTTACATACAAAGATACTGATGCTAATGTTGCCTTTTCAAGTACCAGAACCACTGATAAGTAGATTTACAGAAATATTGTCTGTGTAATATGTGAACGCACACAACAAGAAAATATTTAATACTTTCAGAATGGTGAAAGATTTTGCCGCAGTCAATAACCAAGAGCAGATAAGCCGGCTGATACGAGTCCTGGAGGAGTTTGCAATGTCTCATAACCCTCATACCAGAAAAGGTGGACTTATAGGACTGGCTGCCGTTGCCATTGGACTTGGGACTAGGGTATGGCATTTAGCTTTTTGTTGATGTTTTGTGTGTTTCTTTAATATTTTTCTCTAGGAATATCTGAAATGTTTTCTTATGATTTTAATAAGGATTGTATGATAAGATGTGTATTCTCTAATCAATTACATATGTGTGTGTGTGTGTGTGTGATATATACATACACATATACACAAATACACATACACACAAACACACATACACACATACACACATAAACACATACACACACACACACATATGTATACTTCCTGAGCATTCGAAAATTATATTATTATGTATTTGTCTTTGTTGTCATTTTCATTTTCATATGATTATGATATAAAGTCTCATCCCTTCAATAAATGTATAATCATCAGCCCTAACTAGAGAGAGAAAGTCTCAGGGGATTTTAGCCAGCGTTCTCTTACAGGGCATAGGGCCGTACATTCAAGAGCTCGTCAATCCCATTTTGGCTTGCTTCACCGATGGTAACCCCAATGTGAGGTATTATGCATCCGAGTCTCTGTACAATGTTGTCAGAGTCTCGAGGGGCACGGTGCTGTCGCAGTTCAACGACATTTTCACCATTCTGGTCCGCTTGGCCATGGACGCAGACCAGAACGTGAAGAATGGCTCGGAGATGCTTGATAGGATAATGAAGGTTAGTACGATGTGTTTTTGTATCGGTGATTTTTCTTGTCTTCTTTTCAGTTACCCTTTTTTCTTTTTCTTTTTCTTTCTTTCCTTCTTTCTTTAATCTTTTCTTGTCTTTTTTTTTATTATTCTTTTTGTGTGGTTTTCTAGTATTTTCCTATTGATCCAAACCAGGATCTTTTCTCTGTTGAAAGCAGTAATTATGAAACATACTTCCTATGCCTACATCCTGCATATACACCAATTTTTCCTCCTGACTCTTACCTACAGGATATAGTCACAGAGAGCGCCTCATTTGATCTGGTCGCGTTCATCCCAGTTCTGCGAGAGAAACTTTACTCCAACAACCACTGGGCGCAGACGCTCGTGGTGTCCTGGGTGTCCGTACTCCACACCGTCCCAGACGTAGACACACTCTCCTTCCTGTCCGAAATCTTAGATGGATTATTCTTCATTCTCGAGGCTCCTAAGCCAGAGGTCAAGAAGATGTGAGTTGATTGATTTGTTGTTGAACTGTTGAAGATAAGTTTTTGATGTGTGTTACATACAAAGATACTGATGCTAATGTTGCCTTTTCAAGTACCAGAACCACTGATAAGTAGATTTACTGAAATATTGTCTGTGTAATATGTGAACGCACACAACAAGAAAATATTTAATACTTTCAGAATGGTGAAAGATTTTGCCGCAGTCAATAACCAAGAGCAGATAAGCCGGCTGATACGAGTCCTGGAGGAGTTTGCAGATGTCTCATAACCCTCATACCAGAAAAGGTGGACTTATAGGACTGGCTGCCGTTGCCATTGGACTTGGGACTAGGGTATGGCATTTAGCTTTTTGTTGATGTTTTGTGTGTTTCTTTAATATTTTTCTCTAGGAATATCTGAAATGTTTTCTTATGATTTTAATAAGGATTGTATGATAAGATGTGTATTCTCTAATCAATTACATATGTGTGTGTGTGTGTGTGTGATATATACATACACATATACACAAATACACATACACACAAACACACATACACACATACACACATAAACACATACACACACACATATGTATACTTCCTGAGCATTCGAAAATTATATTATTATGTATTTGTCTTTGTTGTCATTTTCATTTTCATATGATTATGATATAAAGTCTCATCCCTTCAATAAATGTATAATCATCAGCCCTAACTAGAGAGAGAAAGTCTCAGGGGATTTTAGCCAGCGTTCTCTTACAGGGCATAGGGCCATACATTCAAGAGCTCGTCAATCCCATTTTGGCTTGCTTCACCGATGGTAACCCCAATGTGAGGTATTATGCATCCGAGTCTCTGTACAATGTTGTCAGAGTCTCGAGGGGCACGGTGCTGTCGCAGTTCAACGACATTTTCACCATTCTGGTCCGCTTGGCCATGGACGCAGACCAGAACGTGAAGAATGGCTCAGAGATGCTTGATAGGATAATGAAGGTTAGTACGATGTGTTTTTGTATCGGTGATTTTTCTTGTCTTCTTTTCAGTTACCCTTTTTTCTTTTTCTTTTTCTTTCTTTCCTTCCTTCTTTCTTTAATCTTTTCTTGTCTTTTTTTTTATTATTCTTTTTGTGTGGTTTTCTAGTATTTTCCTATTGATCCAAACCAGGATCTTTTCTCTGTTGAAAGCAGTAATTATGAAACATACTTCCTATGCCTACATCCTGCATATACACCAATTTTTCCTCCTGACTCTTACCTACAGGATATAGTCACAGAGAGCGCCTCATTTGATCTGGTCGCGTTCATCCCAGTTCTGCGAGAGAAACTTTACTCCAACAACCACTGGGCTCAGACGCTCGTGGTGTCCTGGGTGTCCGTACTCCACACCGTCCCAGACGTAGACACACTCTCCTTCCTGTCCGAAATCTTAGATGGATTATTCTTCATTCTCGAGGCTCCTAAGCCAGAGGTCAAGAAGATGTGAGTTGATTGATTTGTTGTTGAACTGTTGAAGATAAGTTTTTGTGTGTGTGTGTGTGTGTGGGAGTGAGTGTGTGTGTGAGTGTGTGTGTGTGTGTGTGTGTGTGTGTGTGTGTGTGTGTGTGTGTGTATGTGTGTGTAAGTGAATAAGTGAGTGAGTGAGTTAGTGTGTGTGTGTGTGTGTTTGTGTATGTGAGTGAGAGTGTGTGTGTGTGTGTATGTATGTGTTTGTGTATGTGTGTGTGTGTGTGTGTGTGTGTGTGTGTGTGTGTGTGTGTGTGTGTGTGTGTGTGTGTGTGTGTGTGTGTTTCTATTGGCTGAGGATTTTACTTACACAGACAGTAGCCTAACAAGAATTGATAGATACCAGCAAACTGTGATGAGAAAGCTTCATAATATTTTCTACAGAGCATTGATATTGTTAAATCTTCTTAGGTGTGAGGTTGTGATTGGCGAGTTTCTCGTGAGCATCAAGAAAGCACCTGACAGAGTTAAGTTTGGTGATATGATCAATATCCTCATCACTCACGCGCAGTCAAATGATCAGCTGGTTCAGGTAGGTTAGTGTGTGTTTTGTATGTCTACATTTTTCACTGATTTTTTTCTTGACAGGTTCATTGGTAAATTTTTGCAAGAGGGTTGTTTGAATTATAGAAATTAATTGTAATGCTTAAAGTCTTGTAAGGAAATACCATGTTATGGAATTACGGGAAATTAGTAACAACTTTTCTCTGTCTCCTTTCATAGTTCATTGCCCTCACGTGGATTAATGAATTTGTGACTCTCTCTGGACGTGTGATGCTTCCCCATACATCGGGCATTCTCACTGCCACTCTGCCTTGCCTGGCACTGGATGACCCAACTTATGCAAGTAAGGCTTTAAAAAAATGTCTCTAACTTTGGAAGACAGGGATTGGTGTAATTATTTTTGAGTCACTTGTTTTGTGAGTAATGTAGTTATAACAGCTATTCTTCTAGGCTAAAGTTCTCCATATATTAAATATTTATTTAAACGGTTGAGGAAGCAGTCAAGTTGTAGTGAACAAGATGTAAAATCATGTATCTGAAGTAAGAAATAACAGATTTGTGAGAGATTACTTTATATATTTTTTTTAAATATTGATCAGCCTTCAGATGTTATAAAGTTCAAATTTGAATATGGAAGATTTTTCTACATCTTATTGACCTCAGACCCGCTAATGCTTTATTTACTGCATTATCCAGTCTGAAATGTTACTGTTAAACATACAGGTTCTGAAGTTGTGTCAGACACGTAATTTAGAAATGTACATTTTCATAAAATCGTGATCCTAAAGATGTGGAATAAGCCCTCTGGACAATCAGTGAGGAAAGGTTGATAATGGCCCTAATCTACCCAAGTAATACAGTGATAATGATGTGTAATTAGTGTGGGATGTTAGGAGTGAACTCACTTATACAGCAGTCCTCACACAGTGCCACATGATTTAACCACATGCTGCTAACGAAAATTAATAAAAAATGGGGAAAATGCTGTGTTCATTTCTTATAGTTATCTGTAATGTGTCTGCACATAGATGGCTCTGCTAATGCTTAGCCACAAAGGAAAATGTATTTATTACTAAGGCTATGAATATTGATAGTGTTATTTTTATTATAAAAATTATAATTACAATAATGTTATAAACATTAATAACAGCATAATAAGATAATGTAAAATATTTTTGTAAATCAAGGAAAAGGGTAAACAAGTGAGACAGGCAGTACACATAATTGGCTCATTGGTGCCTTAGTACATGTGTAGCCATCTATGTGAAAAAAAAACAATTAAACAAGTAAACTCATAGTGGCCATGACATGTACATACATGCTATGCCCATTCACATTGGTTTAAATAACTTCTCTTTGTTAGTAAGGAGAGAGGTTCTAGAGGTTTACATAAGTTTGAGTAACATAATCAAAACTGAACCTCATCTGGAGAATGTACAGATCTACTTGAAGACTGAAGTGGGAAGATGCATCAGATGTCTTGTTGCAATATATGTGGAAGCTTAATGTACTGTTGCTTTTCAAAGTTTTATCGCCCATGTATCTGGAAAAGTACAGTATTTCCCTTCTCTCCAGAAACTCGTGCCCTGGCAGAAGATGTCAGTTCAAGGTTGATGGAGTTGATTACGATAGAGGATGACAGAGAGGGCCCTGAGGGATCAGCTGACACCTCAAAAGAAGCAGCGTCGTCTTCCACCTCAGGCGGTATGAAATCTTTTCGTTACTTTGGACCTTTAGATTGTTTTTTCAAGCATTGTTCTACTTTATTAACTGTTAGTATGCTTAGTACTTTTGTGAATTTAGAAGCTTTGAAGTTTTTCTGTGCTTTTTTTCAGAAGTTAATAATCAAGGTCTTGACCTTGGCTCGGTAATGGAGGTGCTGCTCAAACAGTTACGAAACACACCCGTTCCCTGTAAAACAGCAGTTCTGCGCTGGATATATCATCTCCACAATAAGATTCCTAATAAGGTAATGAATTTTTATGCAGTAGATGTGACCTTGAGGGTTCATTATGGTCTGTAATATAGTCATAGTAGAATGTGTACTACATAGATATTTTACTTGATGTAAGTAATATGAAATATATATATATGACTATAGACATAACTATAGAAACTGTCTGCGAGAGGTTCATCATGAAAAGTATGTTTAATTATTTCACATATAATGAAAATGGAAGCCGTCAAGTAATGTTTTTCATAGACTCAAAAAAGAACATTCCAGTTCTAAACATGCCAGAAAATTGTATTTCATAAACCACCACCACATCCTTTGGCAGATGTGTCGTTATCTAGAAGAGCTGTTCCACGTCCTGCTGCGGACTCTCTCAGACCCATCAGACGAGGTGGTTCTCTTGGTCATTCAGGTGCTGGCGCAGATTGCATCCACTACCAATCAGCCACATGCTGCTGCCACTCAGGGTAACTTTGTTATTTCTGTTAGCTGCATTTTTATTCTTATTATTCTTATTATTCTCTTTTTGTTGTTGTTGTTGCATGTGTGTGTGTGTATGTATGTATGTGTGTGTGTGTGTGTGTGTGTGTGTGTGTGTAGATGAGTGCATTGAAGTATCTGCTCGATATCTGTGGAGCATTATATATTAATTTTCTGTCTTTTTATTCATCTACAGTTGTTACATATCACAGCATTATAGATGATACATGCTTAGTTCTCTTATATTCTTTTCATCTTAAAGTTATTGAAGGAGAGGAAAGAAATAGTGTGGATGAGTACTTCACAAGGTTTCTCCAGAACCTCCTTCACCTCTTCGCAACAGAGCGGAACTTACTGGAGGACAGAGGACCCTTTATAATCAGGTAACAGTTTGTGTTCAGTTTACCTGTTATATACCTGTACTTTTTTTATCCAAGAGAAGCTGTGAGTTAGAACCTCATAGCAAATTAGTCATAATCTTCGGTAGTGATGTTGATGTATGAGGTTGGAATTATGTGGCTAGGTTACTGATATGTTGAATAGACCAAGGGAAATTTAGTCTAATAAATTTTGTAAATGATTGTCAGGCAGGTTCTGGAAGGCATTTGTATTTTATCATATATCAACAAAGGAGACTAATGGTTACCATATTGCTCTCCATTAAATAAAAAGAAGTGATGTTAACAAGAAGTAGCAACGTCAGTTCCTCAAAATATTTTTTCTATATAAGTTTCTGTAATTCACATTGTGATATTAATTCTTCATTACTAATAATAATCATTCTGTAATAAAATGTTAATGGTTAAGTAAATTTTTTCTTAGGAGTTGAAATACTGTTTGTCATTAGGATAATGATATGTAAGTAATTGCAGTGTACTTGTTCAAATTAATTATTATAATTGGATTCTCTTTTCCAGACAACTTTGTGTAATGTTGAGTGCTGAAGACATCTATAGAACTTTAGCTGAACTTCTGCAGAAGGAAGAAAATCTAACCTTTGCCTCAGAAATGGTGCAGACTTTATCGTCAATTCTTTTAACATCTAAGGAACTTTTTTCACTGCGATTACAGCTGAAGGATCTGTCGACAGCAGTAAGGCATATCTTGCTCTAATTAATTAATTTTTGCAATGTTGAAGAAATAGTTAAATTAGACTTAGACTCATTAATAATGTTCTTGCTTACTATCTTTTCCCGATTTAGAATCATGAATTGAGAGAAGAATGTCATGAATTGTTATACGGAATCTTAGGTTAACTATATAATTATTTTGCTGTTTACGAGAAATATATTTTGATGTATTATTTGAAGGAAAATTCACTTAGTCAAGTTATTTAATTTTCCATCTTTATAGTAAGATTTTAAAAATTAGCCATCATATATGGGAGGATAGATTTGCCCAGCAAGATTGTCTTAAGAATAGAAACTTTTTATTCTGGAATAATAAAATGTGCTGTAATACTTATCATTCCACTATCAGTTAATACAGTCATCTACATAATGTAAATGTATTGTTTGTATCTACCGTTCCAATCAATTTTTCTTTCAGCCAGACTTGTAGTATAGCAATTTTTTTTCTTTCTTTTTTTTAACTTATTTATTTATTTACTTATTTATTTACTTATTTATTTATATATTTCCATCCTATGATTCCCAGGAGAACTGTGAACTGTTTGTGAAGCTGTATCGATCATGGAGTCACAATCCGGTGGCAACACTGACTCTGTGCCTACTCACGCAGAATTATTCCCATGCGGCCGCCCTTGTTCACGCTTTGTATCCTTTCTACGTACAAGCACTGTTATTAAGTATTGGTTTATGGTTCAGGGTTCATGTAGGAGGATAATTGAATTTTTGTGCTTGTTTTCAGCTCATTTTGTTATTGTGTAATGCAATGTAAGTGTGGTTTGGTGTGAATTTATAATCTAGAAATGAAGCAGGTAATTTATTTATTTATTTATTTATTTTTTATTTTTTATTTATTTTATTTTTTTATTATTTTTTCTTCCCCCATTTGCACCGGGTAAAAATGAACAAAAAATGGGGAAAATGCTGTGCTCATTTTTTTATGAAATTTCTCTATACTAGATGGCTCTGCCTTACCTGATTTTACCTTTACTTGAATTGGTGGGAAAATGTATTTTTACTAGTGTTACGAATATCGATGGTTATTTTTATTATAAACATTATAATTACTATAATATTATAAACATTAGTAACAACAAAATAAGATAACGCAAAATAATTTCATAAATTAAAGAAAATGGTAAACAGGCGAGACAGGCAGTACAAGTACAAGTGTAGCCATCTATGTGTGAAAACAATTAAACAAGTAAACTCACAGTGAGCCTGTCACGTATACGTGACGCCCGGCACGAATGGGTTAATATTATTCCGAGTAAGAAGACTAGACTTTCTGAATTTTTGTATTTGGGGTCATAGCTGTTACAGAGAAATTCCTTAATTCTTTATCAAAGTGGAGACATTGAAGTCACAACAGACTTCCTTGTGGAGGTAGACAAGTTGGTCCAGCTTGTAGAATCTCCAATATTCACATGTGAGTAGTTTTACAAAGTAATGTATTACTTTGTCTTTTATCTTTTATCTTTTAGCAGCATTTGGTGCAAAATATATATTTATTTTATTCAGCGTCAATAAAATTGTTTAAAACAATTGTGAAATATTAATTATCAATACAACTATGTCTCTCCCTCCCAGCCTATCTAATTTTTTTTTTTTTCTAATGACTTTTACCTTTATTTTCCTTCTTCTTTTTCTTCTTTCTTTTCTTTCTCTTCTTTCTTTTCTTTCTTTTTTCTTTTCTTTCTCTTCTTTCTCTTCTTTCTCTTCTTTCTCTTCTTTCTCTTCTTTCTCTTCTTCTCTTCTTTCTCTTCTTCTCTTCTCTCCTCTCCTCTCCTCTCCTCCTCTCCTCCTCTCCTCCTCTCCTCTCCTCTCCTCTCCACTCCCTGATGGTTTCCTCTTATTGTCCTTTTTTTTCCTCCTGCTTTTTCTTTGACTTTGATTTTTGCCTCCATTATTCTTTCTTTTTCTCTTACCTCATACCATTCACTAATATCCCCTTTGTTCTTGCCTTTCACTTCCATTATGTTTTATCTATTTCATCTATGCCTGGCAGTTCTTGCTCATAAAGTTTGCTATCTTCTCTCCCCCTTCTTTAATTTTACCTGTCCATCTTTTTTTCTCTTACACTTCCTCTTTCTCACTGCTATCACTTGTATGCATCAATTTGTTTCTCTCGTAACATATTATCGTAACTTCACCTCTGTCCTCACGCAGATCTTCGGCTGCAACTCCTGGACCCAGTTGGACACTCTGCTCTGGTCGAGACACTGTATGGCCTGCTGATGCTCCTGCCTCAGAGCGATGCCTTCACACTCCTGCGATGTCGCCTCAACTGCGTTCCCCCTTCGCACTTGCTGAAGTATGTTTACAAGGACTAAACAAGGAATCTTATCCAAGTTGTGGCATGCTCACTATCTGTAAATGTTTATTATGTATGGATACATATAGTTAATGGGTTTTGATATCAGTCAGTTGTGCAGTTTATTGTAAAGGAAGATTTGTATCATCATAGCATGGTGAATAATGTTAGAGTTGTATAGGCTTGTAGTAGAGGAAATGTTTAAGGTAATGATCTTGCAATAATTACATGTCTTTAGTGATTTATATATATATATATATATATATATATATATATATATATATATATATATATATATATATATACATCGGCGTAGGGGCATTTAAAATTTAGGGGAGCTGCAAATTTTCTGCCCGAGTGAAAGAGGAAGAGAAATTTCACCTGCCAGAAAATTTATGATGGATGCCACCAGTGACATAGAAAAACCCACCTATAAGGCTAAACTGCCATTTTGTTGGAAAATTTCTGCACTTGTCAGAAAAATAACGATAGTTTTCTGTTTCGTTTAGTTCTAGTGGCCTTATGTTATGTTCAAAATAATAAAAAATGAGAATTAGTGTCAAATTTTTGTCAGGATATCTTCATTTCTTGCCCCTTCTATGAATTTTCCTATCTACGCCCCTGCCCAAAATTGCCCGAATTCAACCAGCATTTACCCGACTGGGGGGACTGCAGCCTGCCCAGCCCCCCTAGCTCCTACGCCTATGTATATATATATAAATAAGAGTTTGAGTGCTTAGTTTCAATATATATATATATGCAGTCACTTATGATTTTCATGTCAGTCAGCAGAGACTTTGTGGAGTATATATCCTATTGATGGCCTTTTCATTCAGTACATCAACCCATATTTCATATTTTTTTGTAATCATTCCTAAGAAGATGAATTAAGTAGACTTTGACTCTTTGAGGCATTGTATTTATCTAGCACTTTATTATTTATCTAATTGTATGATGTCTTAATAATAGTACTTGATATTGTCTTACCAACAGGCCCACGCATGGGAAAAGCGAGAATCGGAAGTTAGCAAGCAACATCAACTTTGAGGAGCTGCTGACACACTTCTGCACAATGCAAGACAAACATCGCAAATATAAACACCAGAAAATCAAGCAAAGGTTGCAGTCGAGTATAGAGCCCACTTCGAGACACCAAAATTAGCGACCGAGTGTACTGTGTTCATAGGAGGCTGAAAGGTAAAGGAAAAGCAAATGAGAACAGTGAAAGTAGGAGATCATGGCATTATTGGGGTGAGAGAAATTGTGAATGAGTGGGGGGGAAAAATACAGGTAGAAAGATAAACGGATCAGTACACACACTACACAGATGGACATTCATAAACACATATGTACAGAGAGACTGAGTGAAAAGAAATGGAGATAGATGTGAAGAGCAAGCAAGAAAAATAGAGGGTAGGAGAGTGATTGAAAATGGGAGTAAGTCCGTGGGTGAGTGTGTGCAAGCAAGAGAGAGTAAAGCTACAAAGTGAGAAAGAGACAGATAAATAGAGAGACAGAGAGGGGAGAAAATAAGAATAAAATACCTGTTTGCTGATAAGATTATTATGCTGTTTATTATTCAGTAGTTCAAGCTTTGAACAAGCGAACAGGTTTTTCTAATATAGTTTATTGCAGGAATGGTTATCTTTCTGATGATGATAATGATGAATAGTATGTCTTGTTTTATTTTGCATTAAGCGATTTACTAGATATCAGTTTAAGTAAGAACAGAGCACTTATACAATCTGCGGTTCTCAGCTGTACGAGAGAATATGTAGACTTCACACATACATTTAAATAGCTGACTAGATAGATTGATTCTCTCATTATACATTCATATTTTGCTGATACGGTATATATGTATATGCAATTTCAACATATTCATATACAAATGTATATCAGTTGCATACAGAAATATTTTGAAGGGTCTACATATATCCTGACAGACAGAACTTTGACGGGTTCGTTATTAAATAATAAGTTTCATTGATTTTCTTTGCGTGTGTGAGTTTATGTACTGTATGTGTTTGCAAATATATATATATATATATATATATATATATATATATATATATATATATATATATATATATATATATATATATATATATATATATATATATATATATATGAAATTATACAATTTTGTATATATTCATAGTAATGGCAAATCATTGTGACAATAAATTGCCAAGAGCTTCAGGCTTGTTTAGCACGAATTTTTCTTACCAACCAAAAATTGTATTAGGTAGATTTATACTACTTATGCCAGTATGTGAATCTGTTACTGCAGAGTTTGTTTGAAACATTCCTTTACACTTATAATGTTGTTTGTGACCAAGTAAAACTTTTATTCCTTTATCTGCCTTGTTGCCTGATCATCCTTCTGTTTATCCTTAATCCTAGAATTTATCACCTTGGTCCCGTTTTATTTCCTTGTAGCAAATGTAAAACATTTGAAAAATATGTATTTAGAGTAAGTAATTTTTCCTGCGATGAAAATCCCATTTGCAGAAGTTGTAAAGTGGTTTTGTCATACGTGAAAGCACACATTATGATCTAACTTTTAAGGATTGTGAGGAATATTTTTACTGTATTTTGAACTGACCTTAAAGAGCACATTCTTGTTGTTTACATAGTCCAGTATGCCCGTTTGCTTGGTTGGTGGGCCAATTGAGGACTTAAAATTTTCTGCTGTCATCATCTAAGGTCAGCAAGACATACCTTGAGTAATCCCAAGATATTTATTTTTAAATGTATGACTAAATTGCCAAAATGTTAAAAGAAATGTTCAGTCTGCTGTGTATTCATGTTCAGAAATTATTGGCATGATATATGTTTCATAAGTACATATGAATCTTATTTCAGTCAAGACATTTTATCTTTAATGCAGACACACCAGTGTAATGTTGAGATTATGATTAAATTATTTGGATAAATGTTAAAGTGGCTTATGCATATAATGAGCTCTTGAAGGTTTAATTTAGTCATTCTTTTTAGTATCCCTATGATTGGTTATGTGATTTTTTTTTCCTTGTTCAAAAAAAAAAAGACACCGCAAACACTAAGGAAAATAAAGCATTCTTGTATTTCAATCTACTATTTATTCACCCGAGTATTTATGTGCTAACAAAAAGACTGGATATAAAAATATGTGGTCAAGAGAAAGACTGTGCACATCTCATCAAAATTCCCTGCCTACATCCAGTACTGCATATCAGTCATTCTCGAACTAGATATTATAAATATTCTCAATTCCAGATGTAATCCAGGCAATTTCTTTTTTTTCTTTTTCTTTTTTTTCCATTTTCCTTTTTTTTATTTTTTTTTCCAAGGGGGGCACATGACTGATCTCCCCTCGGCCAAAATACAAGCCAATAAACACTTGTACTATAGTACTAGGCAGGCAAATGCTGCAATAAGAGGATGACCCAAGCTAATGAGATTTAGTTCCACAAGCGTATATGTTGCCGTTGCAGCTACTTTTACCATGATTGCTCTTGAGGCTTACATTTAAAAACCACGAAACATGCACCACAACCTCACTGGCAATGGAGAACAGATTATACTGTGGAGTCGATATTGCTGTCTGCCTCCAGAAAAAAAAAATGAAACACACGAAAAACAAATTCACAGAGGAATACTAAAGACCCTTCCACATCCATAACAAATAGAAGCATGCTACTTAGTTGCCTAAATCATATTATCAAAGCTACAAAACAAAGTGTTCAACAGAGGGAATTCCCACAAGAAGAACAATAGAATATTCTTGAATTACTTTTTTTTTTTTCTTTTTTCTTTTTTTCTTAATGAACTGATCACAAACTGTGACAAAACATAATGCCTTGACAATAATACAACTTACTTCACAGACGGTAATATGTAAATAAAAAGAAACATGGACAATGTTAAAGCCTTAGTTTTTTTGTTTTTTTTACCAATTTGGACTTGAAATTCCAAGAAAATTCAAATTATTAATCAATAAAAAAAAAGGTAATAACGATAATAATTAAACACCTCATTGCAAAAAAAATAATAAATAAAAATATGCCAAAAGCTTCAATATTTGTCAAGTACACATACGAGGAGGTTTATACTTCACAAAGCCAAACAAGGATACACAATAACAAATTCTTTGGTAGAATGTGGAATATACGAGCTACACAAGAAGAGGTAACATTATAACTAAAAGCCATGTAGCAAATGTCTACACGAAGCATCTACATGTAAATATCTATCTTTAAAAATGCTGCTCCCATTTTTTTTTTCTTTTTTTTTCTTTTTTACATTTTTTCTTGTTCTTTATATAACATTTTCTTTTTAACGTCTACTGGACTTGCAAACTACGCCACAAAATATAAACCAAATCAATAACCGAGAGCTCACAACAGCGTTCTGCTAACAAATAAAATCAGCAATTTATCAAAAGCACATTATAATCAAATTGGTTTCATGAGTTTACTAATTATCAATAGTTACTTAATCAAGCCTTTTTTTCAGAACTTTCAAGGAACCTATTACTCCAACAGTACATTTTTCCCCTTCAAGATACCTTTGTTCATGAAGCGCCTACATGTGAGCCGCTGATTTTTCTCGATTGATAGTTCCAGTTGACCAAACCCTACCATTCTGTTTAACAACTTTATTTACCATTGCATATTTTGGTTCCAAGATGCAAAGTAAACCACAAGTTTTAAAAAATGTCTTAAATGCTAGTTTTTTTTTTCTGGTGAGATGCATAAATATTTAAATAACAAGCATTACCTTCTAAAAGCTGCCTAAAAGGTATTCAAACAATGATTATTCTACATCTTTTATAAGACAATATATATATATTCCTGCATACGTAACATAGATGATTGCTTGCACTTACACACAGCATTGAACAACAGGGTTTCTCATGTGTTTGTTATTCCCAGAGAATAATCTATACCTAAGTGCCTTTCTGCCAGAGACCTAATCTCTCATTTCTTCCTACATTTTTCCAATACATAACAAAACACCATATTCAAAGCTTGCAAATTTTATTTTATTTTCATTAACGGAAAAAAAGACAAAATGTCCATGTCACTAATCCGTATTTGCCTGCATTAATATCTTTGACAATATGTACAATTGGTTCAGCTTCACTTGGGAATTAAAGTGTAATTTTGAAGACAATTGTTTAATTACTTATTCAATTTGTGAACAAGAACATTTTTTAAACCTGCACTTTATAACCCTAATATCCTCTAATGCATCTATACCTATATCAAAGCATAAGTCAAAACTGTTGGATATCTTTTTACAATGTCTAATTCACCAAACAAAATTTTTTAAATGAGAATAAACACACCATATATAATCCTTTGTAGAAATATATGATCGTAAACCCAAAAATATTTTTCTTGCTTTTCTTTTTAAGCTAAAGCGGAAACATAAAACTGCAATGCAATCTGAAGACTAGAGGCATCATCATTTGATTAACAACGAACATGACGAGAGAATCTGACTAAACATAGTATTAATATACCGAATTATCTTAATACACAAAAATGCCATGCTCGTAAATGCCTTATATTTACCATGTTTGTATCTGGCCCATTTCAATAGCTATTACTCACCATTCTCCTTACAAGAGAATAAAAATGATAAAAAAAAAAAATAATGTTGGTAAAGCCTTGACATAAATATTTCAAAGCAATAAAAATGCTGCAACTACACAAAACATGCAACCAAGTGGATTCATAGAGATTTAAAATAATACATACCAAAGAGAATATATAAAATACAACACAAAACATAAAATGCTTAAAACAAAAACAAGAAATGCAAGAAATCATATAAAATGCAAATCATTTTCTTATCATGACATACAACAAGAAGTTCAAAACAGGTTAAAGCTTTTTCTTTTGCCAGGTATAATTCAAAAACAATAGACACGTCAGTAACGTCACTGAGTTTTTCTGGCATTTCACAAAGTTTTAGTTTAAATTTTCCACCGATATCCCACAGGCATGCAACTGATGAGTGATGCCCCATCAATAAAAATTATCACATTGGGTGATGGTTCTGAACAAATGCAAAAGTTCGTTCAATTGTCTTACAGGATAGCCTCAGCTCTGTACTAAATAAGGGACTATATGACATATTTCTATTGGCCTAATCAAGTATCAGATCTTGATAAATACTGACTAACAATCCTATTCAGGAGATATTATTTTGCTACCATTAGTTTTTTTTTTTTTTCCAATGAGGCCAACCTATATATTGTTATTACACAATCAACCCTTCCTACTCACCTTGAATCCTCAAAAAAATATTTACTCTTCAAAAATTGCACTTTTTCCCAGGTCGATTAGTTTCGATACTTACATTTTATGAGCACAACTGGTATGTTTTCCTTTTAAACATTTCCATTTTTACTTAACTTTCTTGTTCTTCTCTTTTCTCATCCTAAGGTAAAGTGTGATGGAGTGAGCTGGGTTAGAACCACAAATTATCCGAGATTTACAATGCCTACAAGCAACATCTTCAAGTGCAGACATTATAGAGGAATGCCTTTCCATCCCTTTTTGTTAATCACTTGAGTTCTATGGCTCCCTCTTCCCATAAAGTGTTACTCTTCTACACAAAAACTCAGCATATACACATTATTTAAAGAACAATTATCTGGTATCAGGATTGTTACCTGGATGGCCTTAACACACATGTACAGCACCATAAAAATCCATTAAAATAGGATCTGGAAACAAAGAGACAACCTAACCTCATGGATGTTCCATATCCATCCCAAATCACTTCATGAATCCAGAACAAGTTAATATATTGCTCTTTCTGTATTCCCAACTTTCCTCTGGTGCATTGGATGGTACCTTAACACGAAAGCTTGAGCAGGAAGAATTATGTCATGTGTCTTCAAGCAAATAGTATGCTGAATGAAGGAGCAATCACAAATGGGCATAACAGACACTGTTTCATAACTAAGTGTTCTTGCTCTGACATATGAAGATGTGATGGTATCAAATGCTTTCCACTGGGTTTAATTCCTTTTGCCATTATATTCACAAAATGGAAGAAATATCACTCCCTTTACAGACTTCTATATCAAGAAAAAAAAATTATGCATTATGAGTATTATTCAAATATAGTATTTACAGATAAAACTCAATTTTAAAGAATGCTAATTCCCAGCTTTAGTTTCTTCATCAAAATAAAATTCCCTATGAACATTAGCTTCCTCAATTTTCTATAACTTTGACTATTTTCATTCAAAGCTTAATTAACATAAACATTCAATCCTGACACTAAGTGGAGATTCATAGGGAAACCTTTTTTAAATATTTCCCAGTACATAAAGTCATTTCCTTTACAGTTCTCACTCAGTCTGAAGTATTTAATTTATTATTCTTTGCAAAACAGATAAATCTAAATAAAAATAAACTTCCTTAAACTCAGCACAAGAAACAGATGAATTATGTGCAACTTGTGAGCAATGGGGAAAATGCTGCACAGTTTCCATCTTTCCCTTTTTAAATGACTAGTACAACACCACAGATTTTGCTTGAATTTATATTCTTTTAACACGATGGATTACCAACCTCTAGCAGAACGTCAGCCATCCTGCAAGTTTAACTTCAAATTTATTAACTTACACCATCTGCTGACTGTCACTAATTAGAATTCAATGGATTTTATTGAAATGGCAACTGAAAAATATATATAACTAAATTATGTCACACCATTTTCTGTATCTATTGCCTTCACAGATCACCTAAACCAACAGACATTGACAGTTACTATTCCCTTCCATTATCCATCAACATCATCAGTGCAAGAAAATTTTTCATTCTTTCCATTAAATTACTTACATGCTACACACAATTGTTTCCATTACTACACCAAAAATTCCTAAACACAAAAATTAAAGGGAGTATTTTCATCCATCACAAATGAAGTTCAGCACTCAACTACTGCCTTTGGATTCCACAGCTTTCTACACCAGAGACAATTCGCACTTTTCTAACCTTGATTTATACTGCCACAAATTAAGTTATATTACTTGATACCGTAAGACAATCTCTCTAGATCTGTCATTTGTCATATAGATAAGTCGCACATTATATGATTGTTCCTAAATATTGTCTCCACTTACAAAAATCAAACCAATATCGTGGCACAGAATCAAATCTATTCTTCAAAAACATCTAGTTTATTAAAGTTCCCAGCCTAACAACTTGGTTTTCTCATAAAAAAAAAAAAAAAAACATCTGTGGTTTGATTGTCATAAAAAAGTAGACCTTGCAACAGCATTTATCATGAAATGTTCTTTATATCTATTCTTTTGTAAATTGAGATTTTCTATAATAGCCCTGTCACAGTTTAAGAGATCCTAAACTCCAAATGACACGTGAAACATCAAATGATATGTGTACCACTCAGCATCCTAGATGGACAGGCTCTAGAAAAATGAATTCAAATTTGCATGTCTATAATAAAAGGAGCTACCTTAATGTTTGTATCTTACCACAAAGTCTTTCACAAGCATTGATTTAGCTTTATAACATACAGTTCTGAATATCATGCCACTTTTGTAAGATTGGGTCCTGAAAGAGCTATAGAAAAGGCTAGTAGAAATGAGGGAAACTGTAAACAATAAGATCTGGAAGTAGATCTTTTTGTAGTTCAGAATACACTTAACATGTACTGGAATTTTGTACAAGTTTCACGTACACTTTTCTCCAAAATATATCTGGAATAAAATTCTATACTTAAATCAAATGGCAGTCATAACCCTTACATCTGCCTACATATGTGGATGGATATTACCAGCACTAATTACTCAAAAATATCACCTTCTAGATTTCAATTATTCTAAAATGGCATAATGAGCCCTTGTACCTAACAGACTCTATGGTACATAGCTATTTAGCATCATTAAAGCTAATCTTTATTTCAAAAAGTTTCTAGACCAATATATGCTACCCTCTGGAGTTCTGAACAAGAAGTTCAACCCGCAAATATCAGGTATATCAGGGTACATTTTATAGACAAATGTGTTGGTCATAAAATACTTTCAGATCTTTCAAAACATTGGCCTACTCACTCTTCACATGAGAAAATGATTCTACAAAATGACCGAGCACTAAATATCTGGAAAAATTTTGTGAAGGCACCAAAAATCTAGCTCAGTCTGTGCTATGCTTTGTCATAAGGACCATGCAGTTAATTTCACTTGAAAATCCTATGCTTTTCAAGCACTGCACTGAACCCCTTACACTTGAAAAACTTGGATTCAAAGGCGCAACAAGATCTCCTGAATCTTAAATCTGAAAATGAGATCGCACTCTTCAAGAATGAGGCCTCTTTCTATTGTTACGGTTTGCTGAGAAAGTCACAAATGCCTTGACTACCCAACAACCTCACTCACAATGGCCTACAATAAACTTTGCTAGTCATAATCCCATGCCTTAAGAGCTGAGGTTGATCTGCAAGGAACAACTGTGATTCAGATCTCCCTCCAACTGCTGGTCACAGCAACTCTCTCCTGTGATAAAAAAAGGAAGGCTAACATCGTCCCCATCTTAGAAGAGCCTCTCGTGGTAGGCTCTGATGATGCTGGGTGTTCGCTGATCAAATCCAAGCACAAGGAGGAAGTTTTCTGTTCGCTGGGTATGTAGATGCTTTGTCCCTAGTCCACACAACACCAGTCTGCAACAAGATGTGACAAGGCAATCAACCACTTTGCATCTGCTTGTCCATACTAGAGAGAGGAAATCAATATCAAACCCAATATGATGCACTCCAGTTCTAACAGTAGAGTTCATGAGAATTTTACTAATCTGCTTCAGTTAAATGACAATTTTACTGCTACATGTATGACCGTTCTCTACAGCATCCAGAAAATAATAGATTTAACATTCACAAGTATCATAGAGAAAAAGCTGAGCTATACATGTTCCCTAACAATCACTTTCCATCCCAAGTTCAAGCCATTTAAAGTAATAATAATAAAAAAAAAAAAAATTGACAATAATAACATACCTCATTTGTGTGTTGTTCTTATCATTGATCTGCTTGAGGGACTGGGCAGCAGCAGTGATGGCCTGCTGGTCAAGCTTGTGGGTGATGACGACAACAGTCTCCATATTTTTCTCTTGGGCCCAATTCAGAGCAGCATCAACACTGACCTCACCAATCACCGTCTGCAAGGGAGAATACCTTTCCTTATCCTGTGTCATTCCATCTTTCTCAATACCAGATAGCTAGTAGTAAAAACCTCTCTTGGGAAATAATACCATACATGTCACACATGATGAGATACAACACTCAACCTTCTTGACTTTCTTCATCAGCTGTAAGAGAGTCATTCCCGCCATAATGGGCACCTCATCAATCAACATCTGCAAGGGAGAATACCTTCCCTTATCCTGTGTCATTCCATCTTTCTCGATACCAGATAGCTAGTAGGAAAAACCTCTCTTGGGAAATGATACAATACATGTCATACATTACGAGATAGATACAACACTCACCTCCTTGAATTTTTCCACCAGCTGCAAGAGAGTTATTCCCTCCGTAACAGGCACTTCGGCTACTCCAGTGCCAGAGAAGGCCAGGGTGTTCACGACCGGGCAAGTTCCACCGGAAGTGAGGGTGAGCACAATTACAGCAGCTCCTTCATGTCCTGTTACCTATTAGAAGAACATTATATGTAATTTTATCTCTTTTTGATCTTTCTAATACAAAAAAAAAAAAAAATTTTATTAACTAATTATCTTTACAATACACAGTCACTTTAACCCATTGCCGCCGGGGAAAATGAACAAAAAATGGGGAAATGCAGTACTCATTTTTTATATTTTTGTGAAATATCTCTGTCCATAGATGGCTCTGCTAGTCCTGATTTCACCTTTCCTTGAATTGGCTGGAAAAAACGTATTTTTACTAGTGCTATAAATATAGATGGTGTTACTTTTAACAGCAAATTAGGATAACGTTAAATATTTTAGTAAATCGATGAAAAGGGTGAATGGGCGAGACAGGCAGTACTCGTAATTGGCTCATTGGATACTTAGTACAAGTGTAGCCATCTATGTGTAAAAACAATCGAACAAGTCGACTCACAGCGGGCATGGCATGTACATACATGTCATCCCCGGCGGCAATGGGTTAAGCAAATTAACTTGGCAGGAATTAATCCTGTGTTAATAAAGATGTTTGCGATTGGCATGACAAAAAATTACTAGCCTAACTAATTCATCAAAAAGTACTGAATGATGATATTGTATCTCTGTAAACATGTCTCATAAAACAACAATACTATTTGTTATTCTGGGACTTCAATTATGAATTTGAATAACAATAACCATTAATAATAAACTATGACCCAAAAAAAAAAAAAAAAAAAAAAAAGCACACCCCCAATGCATGATAACAGAGCATTACACATATTCAATACCCTCATATTAGAATAAACAGGTAAATGGTTAGTACTTACCTCCCCCTTGCCTTCTGGGTTACCTGTCCACACATGGCTTGTGCTCATGTAGCCTCGAACATCAACAACAATTGCTAACTTCTTTGCTGTCTTTTCAATATTCTGGAAAGCGAGCATTCAAAATAAAACAAACTCCTGATATTATATATACAGTAAGATATGTATGAAGATAAAATCACCTATCAAGACTGGAACTCTTATCTAATAAAATATTCCATGTAATTACCCTTGTAGCAACAACGTGAAAATCCTAGGAAAAAAAGACGGACGATTACAAAAACCACTTGCCTTTGAACTCCCAGCAATGAGCTTGTGAAGAGCATCAACAACGCTCTGGTTTACTTTGGTTGACTTCTTGAGGGGAGCTTTCGTAGGGGCTCTCGGTGACTTGCAGGACTTCTTCTCATACACTTTGCCACAGGCCTCGCTGGAGAATCTGACCGCAGACAAGAACTTCACTTTACCAACCAATATCCAAAACATTATCCTCAAATGGGTACACACACAGCACATGGACAAAAAAATAAACTCTTAACCCCTTAACGACAGGTCACACCTATAGGCATGAAAACAAACCACTCGAAATGTGGCATGCAGCTGTACGTCACGGCGGCACTTCAAAGTGTGGCGAGCCGGTGATTCAGCCTAATGCACCGAACTCCCGCGCTCACAGTTGGTGCATTGCCATTGATCACCAGAGCATAGAGTTTTTTTTTTTTTTTTTTCTTCACCTGTCACCATTGGGTTGAAGCAAATATGGACCCCATATTATAAAGAAAGAAAAATATTGCATAATTTGATATACAAGGATGGAGAAAGCAAAATTACCTGGATGGGTGTTCATAAGCATGAAGAGCCATGAGAGTGACAGCTGGAGTCACAGGGCTCGAAGCGACATCAGAATGAGTCAAGCGGTCGACCAGCTTGTTGGGAAGGACGTTGGTGTTGTCTGCACTCTGGCTCAGCAGACCTGCCTTGGCCATGCGGTTCACGCTGGCCACAGCTGACTCTCCTTCCAGTTTGTCCAGCATGTGAGACCAGACCTTAAAATCATAAGGCATTAATGAGTCAACTGAAAATATCTCTTCTCCAAGAAGCACTTTTAGCTTTGATTTATCATGTATAACTTCCAATGTAGAAGACTGTATACTAAATCATAGGAATAACAGCACACCAATATTTTGCCTTTAAGTAAAAAGGTTTCCATCAAAAGGTAGAGTAATTCACGGTCGTACCTCAGGAGATTTGAGGCTCTGTGAAGGTACATCATCCAGTGTCACTTCACTGTAGACTTCATGCAGCTTGTTCACCTTGTTGATCACTTGGTCTACATCCCACTGTTGTTCCTTATCCTGTAACATCAGATGAATTTCAAGAAAATCATTATTTTTAATGCTTTAGCACCAAGATACTTGTAGAAGTAACTACAAATATTCTAGGAACATGTTTCACCTAAAAACTAAACCACAAAACAATGAAAGCTAAACACTAATCTCTTCACAAATAGCTATGATAATAACTCTTTTTTTCTTTGCATCCATAACATATTTCAGACCCTAAATAAGCCCATCATAAATTATTCATGGAAAAGAGAAAACATAAATGTATGAAAAAACATGCTTCTCTATCAGAATATAATGCACATGTCAAAATCATCAGTTGCAACATACCTTTGGGTGGCCATCCTTGTCTAGCACTTGCATGAGTTCCAAAAGTTCACTGGTGTTGTCCTTTCCTGTGTATTCTTGAACAGTCTTGTCCAGTCCCATAAAAACGTAGTGCAGAACTACTTGGCTCCCTGTGTAACAATACTTTAAAATTAATAGCGTACAGTACACTTCCTCCCTTCATGTAGCTTGTGTCTATACATTAATAATATTAGTGTATACTTCCTACAGATGTTATGTGTATACAAAGTTTTCTGGAGTGTAAACAAATCATATACAAGGAAACTTATCTGTAAAGCAAGAAAACAAAGTTTTCATTCATATATCATGCCTGTTATTAGATTCCGATAAGAATGCTCAAAAAGTGATTTGCCTTTATAACAATTTGCACGGAATCAAAATGTTTTCCAGACAAACTAATTAAAATTTTCTTCAAACGATTTAGATGTCTTTGACATATTATTCACTATACCTCTTCCGCAACACTTATGCACATATCAGACAAATTTTTTTAAATCTTAGCATATGTGATAATATTTTCTTGCAAATCAAAACATCCACTTTTAACCAATGCCTTTTTCCAGCCTGACGTACCTAGAGGCATCTCCTTCAGCTTCAAATGAGCAAGCCTGACCACATCACGGTGAGTCCATCCATGGGCACTGAAGTGTCTAGTCACCTCCAAAGCCAGCCGTTTCGGTTCCCAACTTCGGTACCATTCACCAACAGCACGGCGAAGACCACGTCCCCATCCTGGGAAAATGAGCAATTACTCGGAGTTTAAAAGGAGCTTAAATACTAACAGGACTGCAAAAGGACACACAATGCAAATGTCAAATAATCATTCCAAAGCATGTGTCTGAAGCATAAATACAGGCATTTTGTGCATGGGCCTCTGTATGTGCAGTGTGTGTGTGTGTGTGTGTGTGTGTGTGTGTGTGTGTGTGTGTGTGTGTGTGTGTGTGTGTGTGTGTGTGTATGTGTGTGTGTGTAGGTGTGTGTGTGTGTGTAGGTGTGTGTGTGTGTGTAGGTGTGTGTGTGTGTGTAGGTGTGTGTGTGTGTGTAGGTGTGTGTGTGTGTGTAGGTGTGTGTATGTGTGTAGGTGTGTGTGTGTGTGTGTATGTGTGTAGGTGTAGGTGTGTGTGTGTGTGTAGGTGTGTGTGTGTGTAGGTGTGTGTGTGTGTAGGTGTGTGTGTGTGTGTGTGTGAGTGTGAGTGTGTGTGTGTGAGTGTGTGTGTGTGTGTGTAGGCGTGTGTGTGTAGGTGTGTGTGTGTGTGTGTGTAGGTGTGTGTGTGTGTGTGGGTGTGTGTAGGTGTGTGTGTGTAGGTGTGTGTGTGTGTAGGTGTGTGTGTGTGTAGGTGTGTGTGTGTGTAGGTGTATGTGTGTGTAGGTGTATGTGTGTGTAGGTGTGTGTGTGTGTAGGTGTGTGTGTGTATAGGTGTGTGTGTGTGTGTAGGTGTGTGTGTGTGTGTGTGTAGGTGTGTGTGTGTGTGTAGATGTGTGTGTGTGTAGGTATGTGTGTGTAGGTGTGTGTGTGTGTGTGTAGGTGTGTAGGTGTGTGTGTGTAGGTGTGTAGGTGTGTGTGTGTGTGTGTGTGTGTGTGTGTGTGTGTGTGTGTGTGTGTGTGTGTGTAGGTGTGTGTGTGTAGGTGTGTGTGTGTGTAGGTGTGTGTGTGTGTAGGTGTGTGTGTGTGTAGGTGTGTGTGTGTGTAGGTGTGTGTGTGTGTAGGTGTGTGTGTGTGTAGGTGTGTGGTGTGTGTAGGTGTGTGTGTAGATGTGTGTGTGTGTAGATGTGTGTGTGTGTAGATGTGTGTGTGTGTGTAGGTGTGTGTGTGTGTAGGTGTGTGTGTAGGTGTGTAGTGTGTATGTGTAGGTGTGTAGTCGTGTGTGTAGGTGTGTATGTAAGTGTGTGTGTGTTAGGTTGTGTGTAGGTGTGTGTGTAGGTGTGTGTGTAGGTGTGTGTGTAGGTGTGTGTAGGTGTGTGTGTAGGTGTGTGTGTAAGTGTTTGTCGATGTGTGTATGCAGGTGTTTGTGCAGGTGTGCTTGTGTAGGTGTGTGTGTAGGTGTGTGTGGTGTGCGTGTGTAGATATGTGTAGGCGTGCGTGTGTAGGTGTGCGTGTGTAGGTGCGTGTGTAGGTGTGCATGTGTAGGTGTGCGTGTGTAGGTGTGTGTGTGTAGGAGTGCGTGTGTAGGCATGTGTGTGAGTATATGTGTGAGTGAGTAAATGTGTGTGTGGGTATTTGTGTGTGGGGTAGGTATTTGTGGGTGTGTGGGTGTCAGTATGTGTGTGTGGGTGTCAGTATGTGTGTGTGGGTGTCAGTATGTGTGTGTGGGTGTCAGTATGTGTGTGTGTGTGTGTGTGTGTGTGTGTGTGTGTGTGTGTGTGTGTGTGTGTGTGTGTGTGTGTGTGTGAGTGTGAGTGTGAGTGTGAGTGTGAGTGTGAGTGTGAGTGTGTGAGTGTGTGAGTGTAAGTGTGAGTGTAAGTGTGAGTGTAAGTGTGAGTGTAAGTGGTAGTGAAAATGGGAGTGGGAGTGGGAGTGGGAGTGGGAGCAGGAACATGTGGGAGTGTGTGGGAGTGTGTGGGAGTGTGTGGATGTGAGTGGGTGTGGGTGTGGGTGTGGCAGCAGTTGCATTTGGGTACATGTGGGTGTGAGGGTGTGCATGCACGTGCACAGAATTCACGTTGAACAAATTTGAAATAAACCAACAAAGGGAAGAAGAAAATGCATGATTATGCTGAAGGTCTTTTCACTTCATTGCTTCTTCGGAAGAAAATCCCTTACAAAGCAATAGAGCAAAAAGGTTTTCTTATTCTTATCCACCTTGTGCATAAAAGAGAGAGATAAAGGGAGAGAGAGAGAGAAAGAGTGAGTGAGTGAGTGAGTGAGTGAGTGAGTGTGTGAGTGAGTGTATATGTACCTCTGTGTGTGTGTGTGTGTGTGTGTGTGTGTGTGTGTGTGTGTGCGTGTGTGCGTGTGTGCATGTGGGCGTGTGTGTGTAGGTGCACGTGTGTATATGTGCATGTGTGTATATGTGCATGTGTGTATATGTGCATGTGTGTATATATGCATGTGTATATGTGCATGTGTATATGTGCATGTGTATATGTGCATGTGTCTGTGTATGCATTCATTAGGGTATATGCCTGCATGTTTGTATCAGTCTTTCTATTCATCCACAACTACAGACATCTCAATAGTATTCTAATAACATCTGTACCAATGTACCACATGTCAGATATCTCACCAGAATGTCCAGACTTCTTGGATATCATCTTAGAAATCTGGATGAAGAGGAAGAAGAGGTGTGTGTTGGTGCACAGTTCCCGCACAGCCGAGTG